TGTCTCTCTCTAGAGCAGTGTTTCCCTATTTTATTTGGCCACGGAACCCTTTTAAACTCAAAAGAATTTTGTGGAACCCCTAATAGCAGCCATATATATATATATATAGCTGAAAAAGTAGACCCCAAATAAGTAAGGATAATAGTAAAGCAATGCTAAACAACGTCATGAGAGCAACACAAATGAAAATTGTTTTCAATAAAATCCATAAATGCTTAATATTTTTTTTTTTTAATAATAACATGTTATTGTAATGGAATTTTCTCACGGAACCCTTATTTTCACTTTGCGGAATCCTGGGGTTCCCGGGAACACCATTTGGGAAACACTGCTCTAAAGGCTCAGCTTCAGTTGCTGACTTCAGAGTACTCTTCTCCTCCCCTCTTCCCCCCCCCCCCCAATCACTCTTTACAAAAGCGGCAGGTTGGGGAGGTTTCGAAGAGCCACTCGGCTTGACCTCGGTATGTTTTGTTCCTGCGAGTCCTATGCTGGTTCAGTCCAAGCTGGTTCTTAGCCCTCGTGAAAGTATTTGTCTGGTTAGGGTGATCATGCAAACAATCCTCAGAACAAATGTAAACCGGTTGGAGTACCTGAGCGATGGAGGATGGAAAGAGAGAGAGAGAGAGTCAGAGCAGCAAACTTCAGTAGCAAGGCTGAAGTGGTTAATGGTTTTGTTTTTCTGCTACAGTTAGCTGGGGATTTTTGCTGCTGCTTCTAGCAGACCCGGAAGCTATTGTGTCCCATAGTTTTCCCTTTTTTCATGGAATACAAAAAAAGCTGCTGGCCCAGACAACTGACTGTAAACAATAGAATTCTAATAATGTGGAAGTCTCTTTCAGTGTGCTGGTATTAATTGAAATCAGTGAGAGCTGTAGATGCCTAATGCCTCTGAAAAGCTGGCTACCTGATTAGAATCCCCTCCCTGCTCCAGCAAAACCAAGTCAAGAGACAACCTTCTATTATCCTCAGTAGAGGTGATAACATACTACACTTATCCTTTGTTAAACAAAAATAATTTAGTTAGAATCAAAGCTTTGGTTAAAACATGAATGCTCTCTTTGTGGGTATAAGTAACACTGAGCTTGGAAATGAAGAATGAGCTTGTGCTTCAACAGACAGGAGCATAGGTCAGGCCTATACTGGAAATGTCAGTATATAAATGTTGGTTAGAGAGGGTGGAATTATTTTGCTCACCAAGCCTTTGTGAGCTACATGGGGGTTGGCAGCCTATGGTGCACGTGCCATAAATGGCACATGAGCTGATTTTCTGTGCCATGTGGGGCAGGAGCTCAGCCCTGCCAGCCTCAGGATTGCTGCACAGCTGCAGGCTGGAGCACCAGCTCTGGCTTCCTGCTGGGAAGGGGTGGGGCAGGGGAGGCATAAGAGTGGCATGGTGTAGGATCCAGAGTGGCCCAGCAAAACCCTGCACTGAGCTCTGCGTCCCTGGAGCTGCCCCTGCCCCTTGGCAAGCATCTCCCAGGTGCTAAGGGTTTAACCCTCTCCACCCGGCACTACAGTTTGTCATTTCCTTCTTCCAGTGACATCTGAGCTTTCAGCCAAGGGCTGAGCTGGGGGGGAAGGGTTTGGGTCAGGGGGCTACTTAACAGCAGGCTGGCAGACAAGATGATGGAGCCCCAGCCAGCTCCAGTTCTGTGTCTCTGTTGTCAGGGTCGGGATTAGAACCCTGGGAAGGGTTGGCCTGGGGCTGCTCCACAGATTGGGGCTGGGTGACTGGAGACTCTGGTGTAATGGGCTGTGCCATGCTGCTCCCTGCAAGCTGTGTGCAGGGGTGGGGAACTAGCCCCAGGCTCTGCCTTCCCCAGCCCTGGAGCTGCAGCCTGCAGATGAGGCAGGGAAGTGACTCTGCACTACCCTCCACCTACCTCACCCCTGCAAATTCCAGTGCTGCTGGTGAATGTGCTGGGAGCACAGGGATGTGGGAGCAGGAGGAGAGATGAACCAGGATGCAGGGGATCACGCTGGAGAATCGCGTGGCTGAGGGGAGTGATGCTGGGGGAGAGGAGATACAATTTTACGTTGCAGAAGCTTCACTTTTCTATACTCTCCACTTCTTTGTCTCTCTCCCCGACTAGTTATTTGTCTGCATTCTCACCCTCTCACCTTTTCTGCATTACTCTCCCAAGCCCCTCTTATACCTCCCTACCTCCCACACAGACAGCGCAGCTTCTCCCCCTTCTGCACCACACCTCCATCCCTATCCCATTCGCTGGCAGCCCTGTCCCACATGTTAAATTCCTCTTTTTTGTTCCCACCCCAGAGTTTAAGGGTGTCTACAAAATCCACTCACTCTAGAACCCCAGAAAGTAAATCTGGCCTATAGGAAGCCATGAACCTCAGTCCTCCCTCTTCCTTCCCCTCACCCCATGGAGCTGGAGTGCCAGAATAGTGAGGTGTCTCAGTTGGGGTCTATGTCAGTGAGGGTTGGGGTTTTGAGAAGCAAAAATCTCCTTCAAATTTATGTGGTCCCCAACTGATTTTTTTTCTATAGTCAGTGGCCCCCAACCCAAAAAGGTTCCTCACCTCTGCCATAAATAAAGAAAACATTGAAACCTTTTGTGTTGGACATAAATTAATATTTTACTTTATTTATAATGAAGTTTGATAAATGAGCATGAGAAAGTTAAAACACTTAATCTGTTTAATTTAAATTAAACCATTCTCCCTAGCTGCAGCACTAGAAAAACAGCTCGGGCATAATTATGTAATTAATGGTGAGTTTCCATTAGCAATTGGTGGTTTGCATTGACCCAAGGTTTGTATTGACCCAAGTGGTCCATGGTGTGCATGGTGGAGAGAGTCTTTTCCGGGAGAGCATCACGGCACAGGGCAGGAGGGTAAAATCTTGGCACACTGCTTCAGAAAGTTGGCCGACCCTTGAGGTGCATTGACAGAAGCACTTGTTTTGCTGCTATGAAACTGTCTGCACTAGGGATGTAAGCAACTAGTCAGTAGTTGAGTGACAACTTGAATACTCGTTCCCCATCTGCCTCTGTATCAGAGGCAGCAATAGGAGGGGAAGAAGGAGTCAGTGCTGGGGGGAGCTGGCTTACAAGCTGTTTCCCCCAAGCGGAGCAGGGGAGACAGAGCCACAGAGGTCCCTGAGCTAGCGCGAGCTGGGGCTGTTCACTTCCGGCTTACGCCAGCCCCGGGAGGTAGCCCTGCTGTGGCTCTGCAGCCAACTGTAAATCCATTTTCGTAATGAGATTCAGATCATTGACCGAATGTGGAGGACTCATAGGGTACTGAGAAATTGATAGTATTCTGAGTTACTACATAAGCCAAGTTTCGTCTGTTTTGATGGTCCATTTTATCAATGATACTTGTGGGAGAGTGGGTCTAGAGTAGATTTGTTATCACTTAGTTTAACCAGATACTTAATGGATTTCTATTTTGACATTTAAGCTGAAATGAGAAAGTAACTGTGTAAGCATTGAGTCCTTTGCTTCTGGAGACTGCCAATAGGAATGTAAGCAGGTGCTATAAAGTTACAGAGCTTGATACAGTTTTTTCTATTGAAATATTTTTGTCATTTCAATATGCTTCCATTATTTCGCTATGTGCATGTCAAGGTTTAATAATTGAAAATTACTTTCTTTTTGAAAAAAAAAAAACAATTCTTGTCCTTTTATCAAAACTGGTGAGCCCTGAGAATATTCTCCCTTTGGTCCCCACATTGTGCCAGTAGTGGAGAAAACTAGAGTATAAATTTGACTCTCTAATTTAGGCATATTTGTTATGCAGGTTATATAGTGCTGGTGGCTGATTCTGAATGGGATCTGATTAATTTAGTGGAGATTAATTTAGAGTTGAAGGTGGACAAAACAAAAAAAGATCCGATAGCGTTCCCGCTGCTGCCACCAGCTGTGGGGTTCTGTCTGACAGCGGAGGAGCTGGCATTGACTGAGCAGAAACTGGAGTGGGGGTGCTCAGGAAGAGGCAGGGCACCTGTGGAGCCCTGCAGCTGGGGGCTGGGAGTGCACCAAACCCCGCGTTAGCCCACTGAGTCCCATGGCCACCCAGTTGTGCTCCTGGCCCCTGCCCATGGGGCTCTGCAGGCACCTTGAGCATACCCTTCTATCCTTGAACTTGAGCACAGCTAATGACCTATTGGCGGAGCTCTGGGAGAGCAGGGGAGTTGAGTGCAGTGCCTGGCTTTTCCACATAAATGCTTCAACCCTGGAGCACCCACAAAGAGACCAGACCACACATGTTGCCAAAAGATTGAAGACCAGACTATAGAGGTCCAATCTGAACTATAGAATTGAGCAAATGCTAGTGAAAAGACATATTCAGTTTACAGTGGGTGATAAATGTTTAATAGCACTCGAAGGGAAAGTTGATGGCAAGAAAACATAACATGGAAGAAGATCTTCAATGGATGATATGGTATCCTATGTGGATCAAAAGGACTAGATTAGCAAAGGATTGTATGGAATGAGCTATCATGCAAACCTCCAATAATGACGGTGACATATACACCCAATTTAGGCATTCTGTGCTTCTGCTAGATCACTGGGCTAGCTCAAATGTAAGATTTTTAAGTTGGCATGCCTTACGGTGTAGCAAGTATATGCACCAAGTCGTGTGCTCTCTTTTAAAGCATTTTATATGCTTCAACAAGGTGTATATTAAAAGTGACCCTCAAAATTGATGCTGAAATGTAAGTCGCTGCATTTTGTAGTCAATTAAAAATTAATTTTATCTAAATCGTTTTTCTTATTTTTAAAGTATGGTGCTGCTCCTGGAGGACCAGTGTTTCCGGGGCAGACTCAAGATCCTTTGTATGGGTATTTTGCTGCAGTAGCAGGACAGGTATGTTTTTCCCTCAAAAGCTATTTGGTTGAAGTTATGGCATAAGACAAACAAACGTTCATTTTATTACAACTTAAATATTGGATATCACCCTTTGTCATCAAGGTGTATGGGATAGCAGAACTTTCTAGCATATTGAGACCAAATAGTGGAAACTGGGTGTGAGGACAAAGTCGGGAATAATGTCAAATTGAATTAATTATGGCTTAAGTTTATTCTTGCTCACTTTAGAACTATGAACAGGGGTGGGGCGGGTCCGTCACATGTAGCATAAGAATCCAACCAGAAATGACAGCTGCTTGGTTGACCTCCTTAAAAGCCAAGAGAAGTTATTTAGGTCATTATACAAAGGGAAGGCTTCATTAGGTGTAGTAACGTGGAGTACCAGAAGCTGATGGTATGGATTATCTTGCCAGACAGAATGAGCATGGTATATGAAAAGGGGGACATTTATGTCAGATATTTGCATCTTAATATTTCAATGCCTGATTTTGACAGCCTATCTATTACTCTAAAGCCGGGGTCTCAAGCTCAGTTTCCCTTAGGGCAGGTGACAGGCCTAGTGGGCCAGCATGTACCCTCTCTTTGACAGTCCCCTCCCCCCGCATGTCTCTCAGCCCCCCATCCTGGCCTGCATGCTCCCCCCACATGTATCCCCCCCCAACCCAGCATGCAACTCTCTAGCAATTTAGAATTTGCTGGGGCCTGCACTGCCACAACTGGCAGTGCAGTGGGGCTAGAATGGCTTTCTACTTCTAGCTCCATGCCACTGCTGGGACCTCCCTGTGGGCCAGTGGAGGTGTGTGCAGAGCCCATCCAGTCCATAAGTATAAGCCATGAAACTATTAACTCATTTTGTGAACCTGACTATATCTCAGTAATACCGTCTTCGCTGGTTTGATCATCAACCTCCTGATAATTAGACTTTTTTTTTTCCTGGAAAGCCTCAGGAACGCATGCAACTCTCTAGCAATGAAGAATTTGCTGGGGCCTGCACTGCCACAACTGGCAGTGCAGTGGGGCTAGAATGGCTTTCTACTTCTAGCTCCATGCCACTGCTGGGACCTCCCTGTGGGCCAGTGGAGGTGTGTGCAGAGCCCATCCAGTCCATAAGTATAAGCCATGAAACTATTAACTCATTTTGTGAACCTGACTATATCTCAGTAATACCGTCTTCGCTGGTTTGATCATCAACCTCCTGATAATTAGACTTTTTTTTTTCCTGGAAAGCCTCAGGAACGTTATTGGAATTAGGAATGTTAAGAGGCAGGTATCTAATCAAGTAATTCATAGAATTTTTATCAATTGCTCGATTAATCTAATCGAGAGCCAGCCTGGCTCAGTCCTAACTCTTGCCTGTCTGGGTCCAAGCTGTGGCTCTGCAGTTTAAAATGCAGTAGGCTCTGGGAGGGTTGCGGGGAGTGGAGGGGGGAGCGGTTGCTACTGCCCTGCTCCTACTGCCTTTTAAATTGCAGAGCTGCAGTGGGGTTTGGTCCCACACCCGTTGCGAGCCAGGACTAAGCCAGGCTGCCTATCTAGCCAGCAGCATCCCCTGTCTGCAGGGATCCCAGTGGGAAACTAGGACCTCCTAGGACAGGGGCTGCTGCTGTGAAGCAGCCCCTGTCTGTGGCCAGGCCGCCGTGGATAGGGGATACTTTATGGCAGCAGCCCCTGTCTTCAAGAGGTCTCAACTTTCTGCTGGGACCGCCTGCGGACGGCAGCTGCTGTGAAGCAGCCCCCGCCTCTAATAGAGGCAGCAAAGAGGGCGGGAGGATGGAAACAGGCAGCACCATGGAGACTGTGCTGGGGGAACAGGCTTTTTTAGAGACAGCAAGGGGTGGGGAATATGAGTAGTGGACTTGACTATCCAATAAGCCTAGGTGAATTGTGTAGTCGACTACTCCCTTGCATCCCTAATTAGAATTAAGACAGATCTGGGAACTTAACTACCTGATGTCTCATGCACCACTATCAACTGTGGTCACTCTGACTTAGAAGATTATGGTTGTTTGTTGATGCACAGTATTAGGAGAGAATCCCAGATTCCTTTTCCCTTAAAAAAAAAAAAAAAGGCTTTAGATCTCTTAGTTTGTGGAGAAAAGCTAGAAAATGTGCCCCAATTTCAGCCAAAGAGCTCAAATGCCACATCCAACGGAAAAGATCCCCAAGTGTATTTTTATCTGTGATTTCAAGAAGTCACCCTCTTTTGGGAAGATGGGGAGGCTGATTAATGAGTTTTAAATGCTTGGGGTTGACAATACAGTACGTGCAAGTTGATAGTGTCTCCCAGTGTGTCCAGGAGCCTAGACTGAGACCAGGATCCTACAAAAGACATGAAACTAAATCCTCACCCTGACACCCCCATGTCCTCAAACTGGAATGCCCCCTTCCCCCCTACACACACACCTGTTACTTCCTCCTGCTGGGATCCCCCGCCTCTACCGAAGGTAACTGAAAGCAAAAACCACTTGTCCTGCTCCACTGGCTGCAGAAGCACATTAGCTTGGGTGGATCCCTGGTCAGTGCATCATAGCAGAGGCAGCCTCATGGCTTCCTGGACCGAGCTGCACCCTTTGGGGCTGAGACTATGTGGGTGCTGGGAGCCTGTGCACTGCTAGGAACCATGTGTAAGGATTAGATGTGTAATCCTCCCCTCCCCTCCTTTGTGTACACACTCTTGGGTTGGGAGCCACACAAACCTTATTAAATAACTTTTTTCAAAATATTTTGCAGGCCAAATTGGGAAGGTGCTAGGAGATTGAGACCCCCTGCTCTAGAGGATTTGGTATACTGTCATTTTTTTCGTATGTGTCTTATAATTTCTGTACGTTCCTCTAAGTAACAATTTCTAATACATTTGATAAAACATCTTATTTTAAACGAGTAAGCTAAAAGCTTTATTGCTCTGACAAAAATAGATTTTACATCTTTCTAGTCATTTTTGTCTAATCCTATGTACTGTCCAGTGAAAAATTTGTTTACCTGACTGATGGTCTATTTGCAAAAGCCTGTTAATGTAGTTTCAAGGGTGTAATTGTGGAAGTCAAGAAATTTAGAGTTAAGTATCTCAGGGTACCTTGTCCTCTGCCTTCCCTTCATTATTCTCTTTTGATAACTTCTTACAATCCACACAGCACTTAAAATGCAATAGTTACCAAAAAATCGCTAATGAATCAATGCAATCTAGCAGCAGAGGAGACAAATGAGGATTTTAGAACAAACCACATGAAGGTACATATTATAGGATTCTCCTTTTATTTATGAGGAATCTGGTTATTTACTGAAACTAAGTATAGACCTTTAGAAATGTTTCTTACTGAGCTAAAGAAGAGTCTGTCTACCATGAGTAGTCCTACTGATGCAAAAACCTCTAAGCAAAGTGTGACTGGATAAAATGAACAAGACTAAAGTAGCATCATGTGGCTATCCATGCAAGTATGTAACAGGCCAAACCTGTCAAATGTCAAGTCAAATTATTACAGAACCTCAGACTGGCTTGACCATCCTTTTCACTTGCGATTCTAGTCTTAAACTTTGTGAATCAATGGGTACGATAATTTGGAGTGAATTTAAATTAAATTGAACTTGGTACATTAGTTGTAGGTTTTTATAAGATTCCATGCATAGTTTTATCAGTGAGGTGCGATCTTGATGTGTAAGTTTATGGACGTTTACTGATGGAAAGCTAACTTTTCCAAGCTTACTTTTCCTGTTTTTCAAAAGGATGGACAAGTAGATGCTGATGAGCTGCAGAGATGTCTGACCCAGTCTGGCATTTCAGGAGGGTATAAACGTAAGTTGATTATTTAAATAAAAGTATATTTGATTCACATTAGACAGTTATTAGTTGTACTGTCTGCATTGTTCTTAAGTTAACATGGTAAGACACAATTATATTTGTTTTTGAAAGTAGTTTTACCTTCTGTGGAGTAGGGATGTATCGGAGGCAGCATGGGGGATGGAACAGAAGCCAGAGCTGCGGGGAGCCAGCTTAAAAACCAGTTTCTGTCAGTACTGTCTATGTGAGGGGCCAGGGGAGGCAGAGGTGCAGCAGGGGACCTGGTGCAAGCCAGGACTCAGCCGTCCCGGCTCATGCCAGTCCCAGATGCTGCGCTAGGGATGTTAAATATCGGTTAATTGAACAGTCGAGTAACCTCATGAAATTTTATCTGTTAGTTGACTATTCTATAGTGCATGGGGGCTGGGCCAGCAGCCACTGTATCAGAGGCAGCAGCACAAGCTGTGAGGGGAGCCAATTTAAAAACCAGCTACCTTCATAGACTGGCTGCCTGTCATCTAAGCTTCTGCTTCTGAGAGAAGCACCAGCACGGGGTCAAAGCTCACGAACCGGGGGCAAGCCGGCTGAGCTGGGCTGTCTGCCCGCCTGGCTCTTAATACATTTGACATGCAGAGCTGAAACTAGGGTAGGTCCTGGACCCAGCATGAGCTAGGACTGAACCAGGCTGCTGGCCAGCCTGCTAAAAAATGTACTGGCAGGGAGAGGGAAATGAATGTAGTCTATAGCATTAACCTATAAGCTTTTGCTTATTGGTTAATTGACTATCCTAGTACATCCCTATGCTTCACCTCTACTTTTTTTTAAATGTAGTAAGAGCCACTAGGCTCTTACTACATTTAAAAGGCGGAGCTGTGGCATGGGACTGGGCATAAGCCGGGGCTCAGCTGTCCCGGCTTGCACCGGGTCCCAGACACTGCACAACTGTTTTTTAAATGTAGTAATGTGCTACATTTAAAAAGCAGAGTTGCAGCAGTCTGGGACAGCTCAGTCTTGGCTCACACCCAGTCCCCTGCTGAGGCTCTGCCTTTTAAATGTAGTAAGAGCTTGGTGTGTCTTACACTGGCTCCAGGGCTGCTGCACCTCTGCTTTTTAAAATGTAGTGAGTTGGGACTGTTCAGTCTTGACTTGTGCCGCCCCGGGAGCCAACCTATCGAGTAATCGAGAAGTCGAAGAAAATTTCATCAGCTATTTGATTAGCTTAGTAACAGCTATTTAACATCCCTACTGTGGAGTCATATGCATTATGCTGTAATTTTGTGAATGTGGCATTCCAATGAATAATTGAGATTTATGTTGGACCAGGTATTATGGACACCCAGATTCAATAAACGAGCACAGGAGCCATTAAAAAGCAGCATAAAAGGTCCACTTGGAACAGGCTCTTATATTGAGACGGTGTGGGTTCTTTTTTTTCATTCCCAGACCCATGGCTCCTTGAATATGTTTAGTACCAGATTACCAGCGGATCAGTTCAAAGACTTTTTGACAGTTTCTGTTGTTAGTCTGAAGCAAAATGCAGGACAATGTAGCACTTTAAAGACTAACAAGATGGTTTATTAGATGATGAGCTTTCGTGGGCCAGACCCACTTCCTCAGATCAAATAGTGGAAGAAAGTAGTCACAACCATATATACCAAAGGATACAATTAAAAAAAATGAACAAATATGAAAAGGACAAATCACATTGCAGAACAGAAGGGGGATGCGGGGGGGGGTGGGAAGGGGGAGGAAGGAAGGTAAGTGTCTGTGAATTGCTGATATTAAAGGTAGGGAGAGTGGGATGTTTGTGAGTTAATGGTATTACAGGTGATAATTGGGGAAACTGTCTTGGTAATGGGTGAGAAAGTTCAAAGTCTTGTTAAGTCCTTGTTGGCAAGTGTCGAATTTTAACATGAATGACAGTTCAGAGGATTCCCTTTCAAGTGCAGATGTAAAAGGTCTTTGTAGCAGAATGCAGGTGGCTAAGTCATTTAGAGAGTGTCCTTTCTGGTTAAAGTGGCAAGAAACTGTTTGTGATCTTGTCTGATATCTGTTTTGTGGGCATTAATCCTTTGGCGAAGTGTCTGAGATGTTTGTCCAATGTACATAGCAGACTGTTGTTAGTCTGTCACAGAATTCAAAAGATTGAAGTATCCTGTTAAATTTTCCTTCTATTTGACCCTTTAGAAGGTATCTGTCTGTTTCAAATATGGACAAGGTCTAGCTCAGAACAATCACTCTCCAGTTATTATTAATGTTTAGAACTGTGAATTCTAAATGGTAGTATGTAAAAAGAGTTCATGTTTCAGAGGTGTTGTGTTACTGCAACTCAGTTGCAACATTTACTGCAATGGACTAGAAGTTCATTTCTCTAAAACTCCAGTGACAGTTTTATACCTAATCCTGTTATCAGCCATTCGAGCAATACAGATGTTATTGATTATTATGTTAACTAATGTAAAAAAAAACAACCCCAAATGATCTTGTAGCATCTTAGAGACTAACAAAAAATATATTGTTAGTCTCTAAGGGTACACCTAGACTTCAAGCTTCTTTCGAAAGAGAGCATTCACACCTCAAAACAGGATCAAAAAAGCTATCTGCTTTTTTGAAAGAAAGCGTCCAGACTGCATGGACACTCTCTCAAAAGAAAGCCCTGATTGCTATTCATAGAATGGCCACCAGAGCACCTGTGCTTTTTTGATTGCCTCTTCTTTTAAAAAAATGTCCCTGTTCTGCATCTACACATGCCTTTTTTCGAAAGAGCTCTTTTGAAAAAAGCGTTCTTCCTTGTAATTTGAAGTTTACCAGTGTAAAAACAAAACCCCATGCTCTTTTGATTTAATTTTGGAAGAACATGATTGCAGTGTGGACACAGGTGAAGGGTGTTTTTTTTTTTGTTTTTTTTTTAAGGGCAGGTTACATTGTGGGTGGGTTTTTGTTGTTTCAAAAAAAAAAAAAAAAAAAGAGTAGACGTACCCTAAGATGCTATAGGAGATTTGTTGTGTTTTAATTTTTTTTTTTTTAAGTTAGGGATTAATATGGCTACTCCTCTGATATGTTAAATAGTAGTTTGATTACCTAAGACAGAAGTTTTCAAACTGTAGGATTGCCAGGGTTCTGGCTTAGAGTTGCTGGGTCCTGGGCCTAAAGCCTGAGCCCCACTGTCCAAGACCGAAGCCAAAGCTTGAGGCCTTCAGCTATGGGTGGCAGAGCTCAGATTATAGGCCCCCTGTCTGGGGGCTGAAGCCCTTAAACTTCAGCTTTGGTCCCCCTGCTCAGAGTGGTGGTACTTGGGCTGGGCTCCTCCCAAGACAGTGGGACTTGTGTGGACTCAAGCTTTGGTCCCTCTTTGTGATGTTGTGAAGTAATTTTTGTTGTGCAGTGAGATTTAAGAACCCCGGATCTAGGATGTAACACTTTTTAATGTTGATCTTGTCTGCATGAATAGCCTTCATACAAAGATAATCTAGTTTATACAGTGGAAGTTGGCATATCTTCAGTTGAGTTGAGCCTTATGTGTTTACTTACGAATATTTAGTAGGTGTAGGGCTGTCAAATTTGTTGAACATGTTCCTGCAGGTTTCATTATGTAACTTGATATTTAAGAAAACATTGATCTTTAATTTCAGGAAGGTTGGCAATGAGGACATTTCTGTAGATTATCCCAAAATTATATTGTAATGTTTATCCAGAAAAGTAAAGAAATATTGAGTAAAGAGCACAAATCTGTGTTTAAGATACTACAGACAGAAAGAAATAAGATTAAATTTAGAAGTTCCAATCCATGTAACCGACTTCTGAAATTTAAGAAATGCATAGATACGCCCCCTTCACCCTCCAGGCTGCTACCTCTCTCTCAGATAGTACGTGTAGTCAACAGGATTAACCAATAAGACCGACTTATCAATTAATCGTTTACTTGACTATATGCTAAAAACCCTACAACACTCAAAGTGAATTTGTGAAATAATGTCCTATTCTTACAAAATAGATCTGTTCTCAGTGGATTCAGAATTATACCCGCTTGCTTGAGAATCCACTCTACTCTTGTCATTACTTCTGTTGCATGTCAAATAGTTAAGTGAAGTTGGTACTACTACACTTGGAGTTTGTTCTTAGATAAATGGTATAGCACAGGTGTAAAAGACTGAAGAATGTGGCCTACACAGTCTTCATTACTGACGATGATGCAAAAAGCAGGAAAAAAGAGCTTGATTTTCAGATCCCAACTTAAATTTCCAAAGCATCAAGAAAAATATTTTTGTAAAATGAGCAAGAAAACAGATGTCAAGTTTTTTTATAAATTAAAAATGAAAACTAGATACAAGTATCTCAGATCTCTAACTTCTACAACAAATGACAGTTAATTTGAGAGAGCCTTAATAAATTGCTTTCTTTTGTGTTTTTTAATAAATCACTTGGAAAAACAGCTTTTTCTAGTTGGAAAATATCTATAAAATATTAAAATGACCAGGTTTAACAGATTTTAGCAAAAGACACCTGAAAGATTTGATGACCTAAGTACCTGATAAATGGTGTCCAAATCACTAAATTTGTGTGAATGGAGCTCAGGCCACCAGTAATGGGATACAGAATGTTTCACATCTGCACCAGCAATTTGGCTCCAGTCTAGGCTGGTAGATTTTAAAATGCTGCTATTATCTTGATCAGACTGCCCATTTTGATATAGCCAGAAGCTGAGTTGAGAGTGACTAAAACACATCTCGTATGTTAAGACTGGATTACAAAAATAATAGGTTAAAATAACCTCTTGCTCCATCCATCTCATAATGTAATTTTTTTTATTTGAATTAGAATGAGACTGCTAATTGCATGACTACAGCTTTCTAGTAGGAATACAGTTTTATTTCACGTACATATTGATTTCTCAGTTTGGTTTCGTAATTCATATTTATTTAAACTAATCTTTTTTTCCTCCTTCATTTAAACAGCTTTCAACCTAGAGACGTGCAGGCTCATGATTTCCATGCTGGATGTATCCTTTGTCTTGTGTGTATTATAATATAACAAAAGGAAACTGCGAAAAGAACATTAAGGTTGCAAAATCAAGCCTTCCCACATTAAGAAATATCAGAATTAGTTTGCATGGGCAACCTTACTACTTCCCCTTGTATTAATGCATTTTGATATAGTCTTCAATTCCACAACACTACTTTTTTCCACAGGACCCCATCTCATTCATTAAACAGGATAGACCTGCTGCACTGAGAATG